TTCTGAAGTAATTAAATAAGATCCTCTCATTTTGTTGGTACAAAATAAAATGCCGGCAACTGTCTCCAAGAATCAGTAGCATTGTTCTATGTGTACAGCGGTCCCAATGTCAATGACTTCCGAGGAAGAAATCCATACAATACTAAAATATAAATGTCTTGAAACTTGAATGCATTTGTATTACTATCAAAGTATAGGTTGTATTGCTTTGGTTGCTTAGACTATTAATTATATTAATATACAATACGCAAAACGAAATTCATTTATTGTGGTGGTCGAGAAAACACGAAACTTTGTGAATACAGTATGCTTTTTAAACTACAACAAATGGTTACTTGTTGCTACTATAGCTTATTTTTTTCTCTGTTATTTATACAATCTTGTCGACATGCTATGAATCAAAACAGTGTTTTCTGACTTTAGGTAAGAGCAAGTCAAATCAACAAATTAACATACAGTACGCTTTTTTTTTTCTGAATTACTCTATGAAAGGCCTCAACTGTGACTGTTGTATGCTTTTTATTGACATGTTTTTTGATAGATCTAGACTGTTAGACCAAGAAAACGACGTTGATTAGAAGATGTCTACCAGAAGTGGTTTAGTGATTTAACGATATGTTATTTTGAGTTTGTATATAATTATTGGGTAGTAATTATTATGACTTTCTGAATATTTTTAATGCTAATATGGGGGTTATTATTAATAAAATTTTCAATAATATATCAATGTTCAAAAGTATAACGGCTTCGCGGACGGGTGTGCATTTTCGATGCTCGATTGTCCGGCTTCGAATACTTCAACCTAGCGGTAAATAGTACGTTTGAATAGTGTTTTATTTCCTTCAACAGTTATTAGCCCTTTGTGATTGTTGTCGACTGCTTTACCATTCTGCCGGCACGCCCAAGATATATCATCTTTGGTTTCGCGAGTAAAATTTTCCATCGTCGACAACCATCAAACTAAAGCATGCCTAAATAAAGACCTCGAAACCTCAAACTAAAGCAGGTCAAACCTTTTATCATTAATTTAGTGTGACTCAAGCTTTAATATAGTTATTTTACCAAGCGAATGTAATCAGAGATTGCTGAGATAATTGCACTGTGTCAAAACTTTTTGACCCCCCACGTAATTAATCCTTGCCAGTAACTGAACAGTTATTGCCCTTTTCAGATACCTGATACACTAACTTGACTAATCACATTGCAATTCTGTTATCGTACGGAAATGTGAGATTTATAAAATTCAATATTTCAATCAATATTCAAGCGAACAATTTGTTCACGACAACTTATATAAAATATATCTCATTCCAAAGAAATTAAATATCAAGCGGAAATTAATTACACAGTGAAACTCGATATAGCAGACATCGTATCGCTTAGTACGTAGATTTTTCATGGAACAAATCCAACACTAATGAAAATTATCTTGATATACCGGATTTTGTTAGTAATCTCGCAATAAAGCCTATATAATAACGGATGTACTGCAAGTGACCCTGGTTATAACGACAGCTGAATAAAACGACAATTCCTCAATAACGACTTTTTTGAAAACTGAAGACTATTTCATTCAAAAGTTGGCTGCATATACCGATAATCATCAGAAAATCTGGGTTTACCGACTTAACGACACATATAATAATAATCAGGGATTGTACAATCCTGACAGGTCGTACAGCCCATAATATTTTCCTGATCACCTCATAGTATTTTCTTCTTCATGGTGTTTGTACGAGCCGTTTAAGTTATATTCTTCAAAGTTTAGATATACATACTTATACACAACAAACTGGATTCGTTTTTGTTCGTGAATAAAGTTGTCGCTGGCCTAATTGCTCGTAAATATTTATGTGACAAATGCAATGCAATGTCGATGTTCAAACCGAGTTGCTAGATAAACCGATATCTGGCTCCAGAGACACTTTTTTTATTGCCCCCCGAGAGTGTCGTTATAGCCAAAGTTACTTGTATATGCCAGTTCTATTAAAAATATACTTGATATAACGGATATTATATTATAACGGAGAATCCAATCGAATTGTACTAATTTAATAAATTTGTGATCACATTATTGTTGAAAAACAATTTGTAGGGCCGATATGTAGTAAATATATACAACAAAACAATCTCAGAATTAGCATGTCCTTAATAAAGGATTACATACAAAGGTATTGAAAAAAAAGTAAACGACGCTAGAAAAATTTATCAAATTTATTGTTGTCCGACTTTCCTCGTATAATAACCATACTTTTTCAATAATTATCCGTGTCTCTAACAGATAAGCAGAACACACTAGGGTACTGTATACCTGAAGCATAGTACTACAGATAAAACAATAAAATTTACTATATGGTATTGTTTAAATTGAGCGACATAAATAATTGTAAGGCCTTCATAATTTAAGCGAAACAAATATTAAACATATTAATTGAAAATCGCCCAATAAAGTTGTAGTTGCAAATTACTTGATATAAAACGGAGTCCTACATGATTTATCGCGAAGCTGATTTAGCAGATCTTTCGATTTAACGGAGAAAAGGTCGGAACCCGTAGCCTTCGTTATATCGAGTTTTACTTGTACTAACTCTCGTTATTCGTGGATCATATTTACTTTAGACACGTTTGTCGTAACCTTCCGTACCCGAAGATTGACTTCATATATATCAATTGTCATCTTAATACTTGCAACGAAATCATAACCGCTTGTCGTTTAGACAAATTTCCAGTATTTTTTTATTAATCAAATATTATTTGTTAACAATAATAATTTATGTAAGGGCTTAGTAGAATATTTATTCTCCTTCTCAGGGTCTTACATTATTATAATAAACGGTATTCCATGTTGTTGTCGGAATCGTCCTTGTCCGTCTCCTTAATATTTTTAAAAACATAAGGTAGTGACCGCGCACATGGACGCCTGTCAGGATCTGTATCACAATAACGCAACGCTGAGCTAAATTTTTTGTATTTTCTGGTGCTGAACAGGCATCGGTGGTGGTAGCCTACCCAAAATATCGCATACCAAATCTTTGTTGAACTGCCTATTTCGAAAAGGTGGTTCATCGATAGCAATCAAATACATGACAATACTAAAGAATATATGTTTGATTTCTGAGTAAATTGACAAGTATCAAAGATTTCCGGTGCAATAATGGGTAAAACTCTTCGAATGATTGATTTCGACTCGCGTGAATTCACTAGTAAATATTTGCCGAAATAAATTGGAGATTTAGTGTTTCAGATTCATTCTCATCATTATTATAAGTATGATGCAAAAGTATGTTTCCGTCGTGAAGATTATAATGTATTATGGATATATCCAGACGCATTTTTCGCACAACGGAAAGAAATACGAAATGGAAGTCTGCCAAATTTTCTTTGCAGAAAGATCGTTACGTCGGTAATACATGGGTTTGTTGCACAAAACACCAGCAAATTCTACTTGAGAAAGAAAGATTTGCCGTGTGCGTATTTGCTATAAGAATCTAAGCTGATATCATTTTTCAAATGAATATTTTGGTGAAAAAGTTGTGTCTAATGTAGAAAACCCCTCAAAATTTACAAGAAGTAACTGCAAAACAGTCATTTTCTTTCACTGTGTTCGCGTTTCCTAAATGCAATCGTTTCCGGGAAAAGTTACTACTCTAATTAAACCACTCTACTACGAAATAATAAATCTCTATTATTGTCGGCGCTGGGATTCCGTTAATGCTGACGGCTTCTTTCAATTGCCGGTCGAACCCTCCTAGTCCAAAACCATACAGGAATAAGTCTACACAGTTTACAATAATGAAAAGAAAGCTAGAGTAACTATTAACCCTGAAACAATGTGCGCAATCTTGGACAAATAAAATCATAAAGACAACAACCAAACGTTTATTGAACAAAATTTACTATAATTATAAGATAGAATTGGGATACGTGTATTTGGAACCGTAAACGGTGCCATTTCTCGCATCCACATCTCGCGTTTTTGTAATAAAAGTGACAGGTTTTTAGCCAAATGCGCTGTCGGAAGATATCACCAATCGAACTTAGAAATTGCAACTACAAATTTGGTAATACATAGCAAAAAAGGGGTAATACTAGTCGAAGAACGCAAAACTCCTCGATGCTGCATTTGATCAAAATCACATTTAAGGATATGATCATTATACCAACGATAGACTGATTTCCAAAACAGATTGGCTCGATAAACTGGTGAGAGTGCATTTAATTTCCGTTATGACCATCAGACATATCAGCTATCTTACTGTTTCAAAGGAATTGGCAGATAATAGTAGTAGAATAAGTCACCGTCTTTATAATACCAGCTTAGTAAGTCAGCGAATGCGCACAGTTAAACCTCAAATTTTATAGATTGTTCTCCCAGATATGGCGGTACAGCGCATTAAATGGCTGTCGATAAAGTCATTACCAGGCATTTGAATAATAAAACAATAGAAAAGTTTTTTACAGCGTAACTTGCGTTAAACTTCTCGTATTTTATTAAAATATTTTGTTCGTTTTGCTATATACTTTTCTCTGACTAATAATAAGGAAAATTATTATCAAATACAGTATACTGAGAAACGTTTAAGCGGTCGATTGCAGTACTTTTGGCAATGGAAAAGAGAGACTAGTTAATAGTTAAGAACAGTTTAATTTTTGGAGCTTAGAGAAGATACGTGTAAGAGGATGGATGAAAAGTACATTCGTGTTCGGGAATTCATCGTCTCTTATTATCGAGCGTTACGGAAATGAATTCTGAAAAGACAATTAAAAGCGCTCCTTAATATGTATAAAACAGAACTTGAAATATATGCGGACAAATCTCCTAAATGCACCATTGAATTTTCTCCAAATGCCTGACCCTAGTTCTATATACGTTGCTCTCTATAAGTGCTTATTGTATAACCTTAAGAAGTATGTTGTGATCCGTAAATCTCCCAATTATTGGTTATGTACATGGGTATGTGCGACATAATGTAAAGTCTCTTGTGGTTAACCTATCTACAATGTCGCAACAACCTTCTCAAACCTGGCAGAGCCAACCATGGAACTATCAACAGCAAGAGGAATTGGTACAGCAACAGCAGGAGCAGCTGCAACAATCATCGCTCAACCTTTCACAATTACCTGCTGATGTGCTTTTCTTTGGTGATCCGTCAACATCAGACGGACCGCCGTATATAGACGATTCCAATCGGGCTGTGCATGAACAACTGGTTACTGGTTCTATTCAGCAACAGAATGACACTCTGTCTACTCGGCAAAACCTGCTTACGCATCGGCAACAACGTCAACAACGGTGGTTGTCGCAGTACCCGTATTCGAGACAGCGTGAAGTACAAACACCAAACAAATCATTTACGCCGCCGACGCAATCTGAACATCAATTGGACCGACAAAACTCGGTTCAAGACATGCTTGGAGTTTTTCCGATTGAGCCATCAGAGTATGTCCAATCACAGGTTTGTATATTCAGTTAACTGTGAAATAATTGTACCAAGCTCACGCATTCGCATACTATTTGACATTATAGGCCTATCCACCAACGGGCAGTACAAGTATCTCTCAGTTGCAAACAAACATTCAGCAAGTGTCTCTACAACAAAGTAACTTTCCAGGAAACGGGTTTCCAGATAAATCTTCTCAGATGGAAACCGACATGCGATCTTCACAATCTCAAGTAATCAGTCAGCGGGGGGGGTCTAGGAACGAATATAAGGAATGGATAGAGAGAAGTGTTGAAGAGGGTTCTATCCGCTGTTATTCAGAAAACGATATTAAAGTGGGACGTATACCTATCGCTACTGGTTTATATGGAGCAGTATTTAAAGCAACACTGAAACACACTCGAATGCCTGTCGCAATGAAAACTTTGGTTCAGCGTTCGGGTGAATGCGAGGAAAAGTTGTACAAAAAGTTTGTCAAAGAGGTTATTGTTAATTTTTTTTTGCTTAGTGTTTTATTATCACCGCTAATAATTTACATACGATTGGGTATATATAGCTGAAAAACCACAAGAAAGTGAGCGGTCGCCCGAATATTATCCGATTTTTAGGCGTCTGTAAGTATACTCGTGTTACCTATTACCGTAAGTCGTTATCTATACGTGATGATATTAATGTATTTTTCAATCTAAGACGAAGATGACGGTTATCATATGATTTTCGAGTTTGCTAATGGCGGAACTTTACGTAACCACTTGACGCAACATTTTCGTCGTTTAACATGGGAAGACAAGTACAAGCTTGGTTTGGAAATTACTAATGGTTTGAAATACATGCATGAACTTGGTATCATCCACAAGGACTTGGTAATTGTGATTACATTTATTGTCTCACCATTATATTAGTAATTAGAAACTAATAATTAGTATGCTCTTAATTCTTGTTTACAGTCTTCCTTCAATATTCTTATGAAATCAGGTATTGCAAAAATTACAGATTTTGGTCTGTCTGGACAGATTATGTCCTCATCTATAGGTGAAGGTACTGCAGCATATAGAGATCCCTTATCATTTAGAGATCAACCATATAAATGTGGAAAGAAGTCTGATATCTTTAGTCTTGGAGTGTTGTTTTGGGAAATTTCTAGTGGGCAAATTCCTTGTAAAATATGGGCTAGTGTGGCAGAATGTAGGAAACAAGGCTATCGAGATTCTCCTTTTCCTGGAACCCCTGAACATTATATTAACCTATATTCAGCATGTTGGAGTGAAAATCCTGATGAAAGACCATCATGCAAAGAAATTTACAAGCAATTAAGACTTCTATTTAATAATAACAATCAGTATTTACCAGGTAAAACACTGGATCTTTTTTGGAAGCTGAGAGATGCAGGAGCAACTGCACTGATGGCTGCTCTAAAATCAAATCCTTTTGTTAATTTCTTGATACTTTTTTATAACAATATTAGATGCAGGAGCAACATCCTTGGCCATGGCTCTGGAATCAAACTCTTCTTTAACATCTTTAAATCTTCAACAAAATCAGATAGGAGATACAGGGGCAACATCCTTGGCCATGGCTCTGGAATCAAATTCTTCTATTCCATCTCTAGATCTAAGTTGGAATAATATAGGAGATGCAGGAGTAATAGCCTTGGCAAAGGCTCTGGGATCAAATTCTTCTCTAACATCTCTAAATCTTCAACAAAATCAGATAGGAAATACAGGAGCAACAGCCTTGGCAACAACTCTACATATACAATTGAATTCTTCTTTAACATCTCTAAATCTAGTTGGCAATAAAATAGGATGTAAAGGAGCAATATTCTTGGCAATGGCTCTTGAATCAAATTCTTTTTTAACATCTCTAAATCTTCAACAAAATCAGATAGGAGATGCAGGAGCAACAGCCTTGGCAAAGGCTCTGGGATCAAAATTTTTTTTAACATCTCTAAATCTTCAACAAAATCAAATAGAAGATGCAGGAGCAACATCCTTGGCAAAGGCTCTTGAATCAAATTCTTTTTTAACATCTCTAAATCTTCAACAAAATCAGATAGGAGATGCAGGAGCAACAGCCTTGGCAAAGGCTCTGGGATCAAAATTTTTTTTAACATCTCTAAATCTTCAACAAAATCAAATAGAAGATGCAGGAGCAACATCCTTGGCAAAGGCTCTTGAATCAAATTCTTTTTTAACATCTCTAAATCTTCAACAAAATCAGATAGGAGATGCAGGAGCAACAGCCT